AAATCTTTACATCCATTCGAGAACTGCAGTCCTGCTTGATAAAAAAGTTGTTTCAAACATCATAGATTACACTGAATCTAGAAATGACGAGTGACGACTGAATATGGTTTTACGTCGCTTTCAGCAATATTCCGGCAATATCACGGCGTGTGACATCAGAAATGGGCTTCTCATATTGTACCCAGTTGGGAAATCGAACCCGGGTCTTCGTCGTGACGAGCGAACACCTTTACCACTAGGCTACCCCACCGCCCTGAATCTACAAATGAATGTGCGTGTCATATCTTCCATGAGGTGACTTCTTTCCAAACGCCACGTAGAGACTTTAAGCACTTTTTTTTAGGGATATCATCATTAAATCATTACATTTATTCGAGAACCGCAATGCTGCTCGATTACAAAGGTTGTTTAAATAATGATAGATCACATTGAATCCACACATGAATGTGCGTGTCATATCTTCCATGGAGTGAATCTCTGATATTTAGTTAGTACCTTTATTTCATGTAAGGAGGCTCCCGTGGGCACAACGGTAACCTGCTGCTTGGTTTTCCTATAGGTTCTTGTCAGGCAAAGCCTGTCAGCATGACTGTAACTTGCATCCAGTTCCAGAAAACATTGTCAGCGTCACGAGTATCGCGATGTTGTGTTACATGTGGGACTGACGGTAGTATTTGCTCTGGGGTGGAAGAAGTCCAGAGATATGTTGTCTGTTCTTCAAAAGCTAATCTGATCGAGTTGTTGCCTTGTGCCAACTTCTGTGAAGCCGGTCGTGGACATCCGGTTAAACAATTTCAATTCAATACATTTTGCCGTTTGAACATGTGAGTTGATGAAACCCCATTGCTTTCAGGTTTCATTTTTTTAGCAATTTCTTGTTTTTAAGCATCGGATGCTCCGTAACCCGATGTCTTTTTCAAAGATTTGTAACTGTTAGATTTGCTATCAAAATGGTTTAAGTCAAATGTCATTTTAGGTGATATGCCAGTGGGTATGACTATGACGGATCGGAATTCAAATTAGATACTTTCTACACAACAGAAACTTACATTGTCTCAGGAAAGGATGTAAAAAAACAACAACTGCTATCTGTGTATATCCATCATTCTATCAATGAATATGCGAACAAACAATGCTATCCATTACGAACTGTCATGTCTTCGTGTGCTTCCAACCTTGAAGACATTTACATATTTATTAGTAATCTTATCTAAAAGCAGATTTAATTGAACGAGCTTATCACAAGCATGTGCTTATGAATGAAAAAAAGTGATGATGCCAGGTGTTCGCAAAAAGGTGAGCGTATTTATACGTAGTTGGCGTATACCCATTTTCTACCTTTGTGTGTGTGCGTCCTTTTCGCAGCTCTGCTATCCTCCAATCTTGTGTTTTTGCCTCAACTTTGACATGTTTTTTTCCAATTACCACTTGTACTTCTCACTACATAGAAATGCACATTCTTTCTATACATATATCATATTTGACTCTACCTATGCTTATAAGATTGCTGTAGCAACCAGCACAAATTCAGTTAATCAGGTTTAATTAGTCGACGGTGGAGAGAGATTGTCTGTCCTAAGTCCGGGCAATGTTTTGTATAATAACCGGACGAGCAGGGTCATTACTGCTTGGACATGCGTGGTTGACCTGCTACTGTTTGTCTCCTGATGATGTTTAGGGAACTTTGTTTTAGAGCAGTTTGTCTTTAATCTTAGATTATATATAAGTAATTTGATCGGGAGCAAATGCCTGTGTTTTTCTTTGTCAAGTTGTTTATTCGTGCTTTCATTTATTTACCAAGAGCTAATTCCTGGCCAAGTACCCGTGTGTCTGTTAAGTAGACTGACGCAGTATTACTGTCATCATCTACTCACTCGGCGAGTCACATTCTGTGTTCCATAATTATGTTGGCAATTATCGGATAACTAAGTGGACCCAGCCAAGTGGTGATAGTTTATTTATCCTGTTAACATCCTGTGAGTGATTTGCAACTAGGTCATAATAACCCCGACAATTATTTGTCGCTGGCTGGACAGTTGCCTTGCTAGGTATTTTTGCTGTTTAGCTGTCTCTTGTATTTGTGGCAGCGGTTGTTCTGCTTGAGTGATTAGACTAATTACCCTGATTGGTTCATCAAGCAGAGGTGTGAAAATCGTTATGTTACAAGTTGTGTCATGCAAAATCCTTTTAGTCATGATTCAAATACATATTTTACTTCGAGTACAAAGTAGTTTTGATTTTCTAACTTGATGAAAACAAATCATAAACTCATTGATTCTCGAAAAGACTTTAGCCCGTGACGTCACGATTTTGTATAAATGGCGGCGCCCTGTCGCGAACATCCGCAAGTTTGAGAATAAATGCTATTTAGGTTTGTTTTCACCGAGTTACAAAATCAAAACTACTTTCTACTGGTAGTGAAATATGTATTTGATTGATGGCCAATAGAAATTTGCATGGTATGGCTAATAACATAACAATTTTTCTCTTGGAAGCGAGGTGGGTGTCAATATAATACTACTTACAATATTATTGTCACTTCGACCACAACCTCGCTTTGGCGTCGTTTGGGGCACTTTAGTCCACTTGATTGATTATCTAAGGTGTTATCCTAATAAATTGAGTTAGCCACATCACTTTGACTTGGAATTTCTAGTTATTTTTCCATTAGTTTCCTGGTATAGGTAGTCACCGTGACAGTATCCTCCCCCCTCCGGCGGCAAAACGTATTTTTCTCTATCAAATGAGTGTGTGCCGTACACATTGTAATAAAACGTGAGGCTGAAAATGTCTTGCTTTTTCTACCTCTGCACAAACAGAGTATACTTACAATCCTGAACCCGGATGGATGGATAAGTGAGTTGGGTTTACCCCACTGTAGGTATTCCAGAACAATCTCGGCACTGTGCGCCAGCAATGGGATTAAAAAATTGTACTCAGGTAGGGAATCAACCATTTGGCCCTGATGTAAATTATTTTCATTTCAGTGGAAGAGAACGCTTTTCCGTTTGTGTTATTATCGTTAAACATTATGGTTATTGTTTTACGCGTTAAGATCCTGTAGTAGTTCGAAACATTTTTAAAACACGAATAAGCTGCTATTGTTTTCTAATATTTACAGTAGTGTGGAAGTTACTACATTCTGATGAATTTTGAGTCAGGCGTAATCTGTAATCTTCTAGAACAGCTGTAGACAAATCCAGGTAGATGGAACTTTCTAGACATTATTCTATGTGGGAAAGTCTCATCTCATAAGTCAATTGAGTGAGTTTCGTTTTACGCCGCTTTTAACAATATTCCAGGAATTTCACGGCGAGGGACTCCAGAAATGGGCTTGACACATTGTACCCATTTGGGCAATCGAACCCGGGTCTTCAGCGTGACAAGAGAACGCTTTAGCCATTAGGCTACCTCACCGCCCCGCTCTTAAATAAGACCAGTTGCTGTGTGAAGTTTATGTTTTCACCTTGGATATCCAATTCTTAACTTTGATCGTAGCCAATGTGTTAAGAATGGGCTTAAGAAGTTCGTAGGGCTACGAACGTTTCGAGAATAGCTAGCCAGGGCTATTTTTGTAAGTCACAGTTGCCGACAGGTGACTATTATCACTGACGTTATTGGTATGTCTCCGCGCAGCCATTGTAAATGCTTCCCAGCCATCTGTATCGATTTGTAAATCTAGTTATATCACAAATGTTAACTGCATAATATTGCCTATAGATTTCTGGGTTCCTATATTGCTTCAATTTAGAAAAAATCTTCAATTTAGAAATCGTCATGCATTACTTTCGTGCGTGTGGTTGGGGCGGTGTGTGTGTGTGTGTGTGTGTGTGTGTGTGTGTGTGTGTGTGTGTTTGCGCGTGAGCGTGTGCGTGCGTGCGTGTATGTGTACAAGTACAGATTCTAGTACTTTGTCAAGGTTGAGTAGTCGTATCCGGGATTCGAACCCACACTCTCAGAGCCAGAAACGCAATAGACAGCACAACTGATGCAAAACCTGTAACATCCCCAATCCAATCCCATGTCAAAACCACGCATATCTAAGACCCAGGTTACGTTAGTTGATGGAACCCAGTTATTTCTTTTTCTGGAATCAGTTCTACACTTTGAGGACGTTCTGAGATGAGTTTAAACCAGTATAAGATTGTTAATGGAAGAAATTTGAATGCCAATATGCATAGTGGGTATCTTCTGTCGTACAATCACACTAGATGTTGTAGTAATTTTCAGTTAATGTTTTATCTCTTTATAATGGGACAGGGATAGCTTAATACCAAGACATTGGGAACTCGCCTTTAGCATACTGAGATAACATTTCCTGAAAAGATAAAAGAAAATTCCCCGATGATTTAAGCATTTCGCAAATTATGTAATCATTTCCTGCTGTTTTATTAGCCATGCCTCAACGATCCATGAAATAAACAAGAAGACTGACTGACTGACTGAGTTTGGTTTTACGCCGCTTTTAGCAATATTCCAGCAACATCACGGCGGGGGACACCAGAAATGGGCTTCACACATTGTACCCATGTGGGGATTCGAACCCGGGTCTTCGGTGTGACGAACCAACGCTTGAACCACTAGGCTACCCCACCGCCCCTAAACAAGAACATGTCATCCATAAAGTTGTATGCTTCAGTTGTGACTCACCAAATTCTAGAATGCCGATCAAACAAGTAGTAAGAGGTCTACATGTGATATCCATGTAATTCATAAACACCTTAAAAACGCTTTTTAATACAAGGGAGAATAGAAGACGTAGATTCTATGCTGTAGATTATTCCTGGTTATACGTGTTGCCAAAATCGTACAGTGGAACCTCATTTTGCTTTAACAGAATCATAGGACTCTGGATCTAAGAATCGGGGTGAACTGAACTGTGGGGTGATTAGTGTACTGTACACCGCACTTGGGTCTTGTGGCAAACTGCTATTTCCGGCATATATATGTGTGTATTTTCTGTGTAAAAGTGGCGTTTACTGAAGATGTATTCTGTTACAGTTGATATATATCTGTGTCATGGCGTGGTTCCTGGTTGTACTGGATGCTAGGAGCCATCCGAACATCACCACCGAAAGCTTTCTCCTCCCTGAAAGTAAGTACACGCAGGAACAATATACACTAAACGCCAAAAGAAACGATACCCCCTTCCTTAATGACGGAGGTACCTATCTTCAGCTAGCGTTGTGATGCGTGGACGTCCACTTCTTGGTCTGTCTACGGTGACCCCAGTCTGTCTGAAGCCCTAAATAAGTCTTATAACCGTGATACGGTGGCATCAGAGGGCGCTGGCAACGGCATTGTATGTCGACCCCATCTGCACCACCCCAATGGTTCTTTTTCTCCCTTCAGCTGTTAATCGTGGCATATTTCTCGTACTTGTGTATCAGATCTTGTATTCTAGACTCTATTTATACCCTATAGAATCATTCCACATGTGAAATGGATGTAAATACTGCTTGAATATTGCTGCGTTTTGGCGATTGATATTTCTATGTGTAAACAGAAAATGAAAAAGTGTTACTTTGCAAGCAAACATATCAACAAAGATAATTTTAGATGTTCCTAAACATTTGTTCACAATATCAGAGACACGTTTTACTTGTTTTCACTAATGCAAATCATCAGAAAATGTTTTAAAAGATTAAAATCATAGGAATGATTATTCTACAATTTTACACACTCTACAACAGTTGTTCCTTAGTTGAGAAATGGTGACTTTAAATATGGTTTATCATTGTCCCAAAGCAGACTTTTATTTCAATCTTTCGTTTGGACCTCAAAATCACTATTATTGGTATATTTCGGCATGGACGAATATAGGACAATTTAACTCTTCTGAAAAAGATGCATTTCACCTAAATATAAATGCATTTGAGAATTTTTTTTCGTGATTTGCATTAAGCTGTATTGTTAAGCTTTCTTGTAAACTAAAACCTTCTAACATATCTTTGATAGTTTTTCAGTAATTCATAAAGGTAGGAGGGTAACGTTTCTTTTGGCGTCTAGTGTACATACTACTTACACGATATGTGCAATAATGGTGTGTTATATTGTGTGGCACATAATGTTTTACATACATGCAGTACCACCTGTACACATACATTTGTCACAGTGTGTATTTTTGTATGCGCATGTTCTATTACACACATACGTCATATAGCTGGAATATTACTGAGTGTTAAGCAAGAAACAAACAAAACGGCTGTCATCAACCCACATTTTCATATACCCACGTTGTATCACATAAATGCCTCATTAACACCCATGTCAGATGGTGTATTCTCATATACTCGCGTTGTATCACATAAATGCATCATTAACACCCATGTCAGATGGTATATTCTCATATACTCACGTTGTATCACATCAATGCCTCATTAACACTAATGTCAGATGGTATATTCTCATATACTCACGTTGTATCACATAAATGCCTCATTAACACCCATGTCAGATGGTATATTCTCATATACTCACGTTGTATCACATAAATGCCTCATTAACACCAATGTCAGATGGTATATTCTCATATACTCACGTTGTATCACATAAATGCCTCATTAACACCCATGTCAGATGGTATATTCTCATATACCCACGTTGTATCACATAAATGCCTCATTAACACCCATGTCAGATGGTATATTCTCATATACTCACGTTGATCACATAAATGCCTCATTAACACCCATGTCAGATGGTATATTCATATACTCATTGTATCACATAAATGCCTCATTAACACCCATGTCAGATGGTATATTCTCATATACCCACGTTGTATCACATAAATGCCTCATTAACACCCATGTCAGATGGTATATTCTCATATACCCACGTTGTATCACATAAATGCCTCATTAACACCCATGTCAGATGGTATATTCTCATATACTCACGTTGTATCACATAAATGCCTCATTAACACCCATGTCAGATGGTATATTCTCATATACTCGCGTTGTATCACATAAATGCCTCATTAACACCCATGTCAGATGGTATATTCTCATATACTCACGTTGTATCACATAAATGCCTCATTAACACCCATGTCAGATGGTATATTCTCATATACCCACGGTGTATCACATAAATGCTTCATTAACACCCATGTCAGATGGTATATTCTCATATACTCACGTTGTATCACATAAATGCCTCATTAACACCCATGTCAGATGGTATATTCTCATATACCCACGTTGTATCACATAAATGCCTCATTAACACCCATGTCAGATGGTATATTCTCATATACCCACGGTTGTATCACATAAATGCTTCATTAACACCCATGTCAGATGGTATATTCTCATATACTCACGTTGTATCACATAAATGCCTCATTAACACCCATGTCAGATGGTATATTCTCATATACTCGCGTTGTATCACATAAATGCATCATTAACACCCATGTCAGATGGTTTATTTTCATATACTCACGTTGTATCACATAAATGCCTCATTAACACCCATGTCATATGGTATATTCTCATATACCCACGGTGTATCACATAAATGCTTCATTAACACCCATGTCAGATGGTATATTCTCATATACCCACGTTGTATCACATAAATGCCTCATTAACACCCATGTCAGATGGTATATTCTCATATACCCACGTTGTATCACATGAAGTTTTCATTAACACCCATGTCAGATGGTATGTTCTCATATACCCACGTTGTATCACATAAATGCCTCATTAACACCCATGTCAGATGGTATATTCTCATATATCCACGTTGTATCACATAAATTCTACTTTAACACCCATGTCAGATGGTATATTCTCATATACCCACCTTGTATCACATCAATGCCTCATTAACACTAATGTCATATGGTATATTCTCATATACCCACGTTGTATCACATTAATGCCTCATTCACACCCATGTCAGATGGTATATTCTCATATACCCACGTTGTATCACATAAATGCCTCATTAACACCCATGTCAGATGGTATATTCTCATATACCCACGTTGTATTCACATAAATGCCTCATTAACACCCATGTCAGATGGTAATGGTTCTCATATACTACGTATCACGTTGTATAAATGCCTCATTAACACCCATGTCAGATGGTATATTCTCATATACCCACGTTGTATCACATAAATGCCTCATTAACACTTATGTCAGATGGTATATTCTCATATATCCACGTTGTATCACATAAATTCCTCATTAACACCCATGTCAGATGGTATATTCTCATATACCCACGTTGTATCACATAAATGCCTCTTTAACACCCATGTCAGATGGTGTGTTCTCATATACTCACGTTGTATCACATAAATGCCTCATTAACACCCATGTGAGATGGTGTTTTCTCATATACCCACGTTGTATCACATAAATTCTACTTTAACACCCATGTCAGATGGTATATTCTCATATACCCACGTTGTATCCCATAAATGCCTCATTAACACCCATGTCAGATGGTGTATTCTCATATACCAACGCTGTGTCACATAAATGCCTCGTTAACACCCATATCAGATGTGTATTCTGATATGCACACGTTGTATCACACAAATACGTCATTAGAAATGCATATGTACAAGCACGTCATTAACACACATGCATGGCACATGATATATTCTCATATACACAAGCCCTATTACACAAACACGTCATTAGTAACATGTATGTCACATGTTGTCTTCTCATATGCACACGTTGTATCACACGCATGCATTATTAACGCATACACACACACACACACACACACACACAGACACATACATACATACAGACAGACAGACACAATACATGTGTGTGTGTGTGTGTCTTACTGTATATTTCACTGTGTACATGCTACATAACACACACATTTTATTAAGGCACGCATATGTGTTACATGGGATATTTGTATTTTTGTGCTTAAGATACGGATATAATCTCGCCAAACATATAATATCTTTCAATATTGATATCCCTGAAAGTAATCCATGTTTATGAAGTAACTATAGAAATGTTTTTTCCCTGTGTAGTATCAAAACATTCCCAGAAGCTCGGGAATTACTATAGAACTTATTTGAGAACTTGAGCCTATAGTTTATTGAGAAAAGGACCATATATAACATACTATTCGACGTATAAAGATTGTATCTGCAAGGTGACCTTGTGTGCATGTTATGGATCGTGAAAGTCATTGGACTGATTTATGGCACAGATAACACTATCCATTATATATCTGTTAGATATATGTCATGTTGCAGGTGTTATACAGAGTGTGAAGGATGAATCATCACCTGAACAAGCAGTGTGTCGTTACCTGTGCTCTCGGGGACCAGTCACACCACAGGCGTGTCGATGCTGGTTCTGGCTCCCCTGTCTGGTGAGTCCATGCAAGATGATTCATTGGTGGAGTGGACCAATGGTCAACTGCTTAAGTGATTCTTGTCCGGTTTCATAGATTAAGAGGGTGAATTAGTCATTGACATGAAGGCATTAACCCACGGCTCGGCGGGGAACAGATCAAGATGTGGAATCCTGACTTTGGCGACTAAAACTCTATATTATGACATTTTGAAAATTATCCAATCATCTGCATGTATTAGGGATTAATCATATGGAAAACAATGGGCATTACACAGACCAGGGCTGTGGCATAGTCTACTGTTTAAAGCGTTTGCTCGTCACGCCGAAAGTCCGGGTTCGATTCCCACCATTGGTACAAAGTGTGAAACGTATTTCCTAGTGTCCTCAGCCGTGATATCCCTGTTATATTACTAAAAGCGATTCTCATTCATCCACACACAAGTAACTCATAACAACTCGTGTCAGTTCATTTTTAGGAGTGTTTTTAGCTAAATCACAGAAATTGGTGTCAGTATAAACTGCAAGTATTGTTCCTTTTGTGTGTTTTAGGGTAAAGTGTGTAAAAAAGGGACATCATGTCGGATCCGAGGAAAAAAGAGCGTTCCCCAGACAGTATGCTGCCCACCTTTCTCAAACAAAATGGGAAAACGTAAGAACACCAGTAACCGTACATTGACAACGGACCCGTGAAGGGTTAGAAATGGCCTTCAGCAACCAACGCTTGTCGTTAGAGACGACAAACAGGATTGGCTGGTCAGACTCATGTTGACACATGTCATCGTATCCCAACTGTAATTGGGTAGATCGATGTTCATGCTGTTGATCACTGGATTATCTTCAGATTATTTTCAGACTGCCGTCATATAGCTGGGGTATTGCTGAGTGCGGCGTTAAACAACAAACAAACAAACATTGACAACGACCATGACTTTTCAAAGTTGACAAAACCTGAGTGGTGATGTTAAAGGTGGTGCAGGAACACGCACTAAAGATTTGCGTCCATTATACTTCTAGAATACTTACTTACTTACTTGCACCTGCATCCCATTTTCGCTTTGCTCCCGTATTCAACATATGGATATTGAAGTAACTGGAGTTTAGAACTCTATTTTGCCATCTAAAGATTAACTGTTTATTTTTGTCAATTTAAAACAATTGTGGTGAGTCAATATGTTTGTCTGTTGCATGAAGGCAGTATCTAAAACATGTGGCCTGGACCAGACTCTCCGGTGATCAACGTCGTCGTGGTTGCAATCAACCACGTTACTCTATCCATTTCTCCTAGTTCCGAACCGGAACGAGTGGAATAGGCTACTGTTGGTCGATTCTTACCCAGAATGCCCACGGTGTTGCCTACTAAGATCAGCATCGTAACCTAGGGACACCGCATATTCTCACAGGGAATCCCCTCTTGTCGGTGCACATACACTTGCAACTGATGATACATATTCTTGCAACAGAAATGTAATATGGAACAGTTTGGTTGGAGCAACACCTGAACATTTCTAAAGCGTTCAAACTCACAGTAGGTTTATTCATTTTCAGAATGCCAAGAAAGGAGATCCTTTATAACTTACAGACGATCAACCCCGTACTTTATGTACAACAGATCCACTGGTGCATGCGAGATTCATCATTGGACAGCTAATCAAGTTCAGATGGTCACCATACCTGGATATACTACTTCCGGCGCATGCTCATTGTGCTCTCTCTACAAAATGTGTGAAGGACCAATCATCGACCGCCTTTCAGCTGCATCGGAAATTACGTCGTATAGCATTCAATAGATTCAAATGTTAATCATCATGATCAGTGACTGTTTTGTTTACCCTCAATTAAGTTTTGTTTTAAAAAGGTAATGATAACTCTTCCAGTAACTTCCTTAAGTGGCATTTAGAAGCTGGTATGATGAAGTGGAACACTTTTTATGGATAGACAGCTTCTTTGTTGCAGTAGTAGTTGCGACGTTTTGGTGTTGATCTTAACACCGTTATCAAGCAAATGAGGTGCTTTGCTTGATAACGGTGTTAGGATCTACACCAAAACGTCGCAACTACTACTGCAACAAAGAAGTTGTCTATCCATAAAAAGTGTTCCACTTCAACTCTTCCAGTGACTCGCGCAAACACTGTGACAAAATAATATTATCTATTCTGCTCCAAGCTGTGCATCTCCTGTACAACGCATGATACACAGTCCTTGCAGTGGATCCGTCAAAGAGAAATACTTAAATGCCTGGCAAAAGACAGCGTTAACCCATGTTTTGTGGTTGCTCATAAACACGCACGCACGCACGCACGCACGCACGCACCCGCGCACACACACCAGCAAATAAAAAATGGTAATTGGATGGCAATGTTGGACCTAACATTTTGCAGCGTTTTTAAAAATTTTAAATCCAGTTTTCAAGTGTATGCTTTCCTTTGCACAGCAGTTTAAGTCCCTGTTTCTATTGACAGTCATGTGGAGTTCCTCTTCTTTTTATACTGAATATATACGAGGAGTATGCTGAATTTATCTTTTTTCCTAATGTTTAAATCAGCGGCATATGTAAATATTCTCCTAAGGTTTTGCTCGACCCAGAACCTAGAGACGTTAAAGTGACATTTCCCCTCAAGGCGTCTTTGGACTTCTTTTTAGAAATTGGTACATGTACACCAGGCATTGTTTTTAATTTAAATTTAAATTTCTTTCAACTCATGTTTCACTTAATTGAAATTCTAACTTTAAACACACAGTTACAAATCTAAGTCATAAACAAGAGAATAGCATATCAACACTTTCAGATAGTGGATTTAATCATTTCGTCGATTTGGACAGATTCTCTTTTGACATCATTAAAATCTCAACGATCATTTTCCGATTGGGCATATATCCTTAAATGATTTTAATACGACTTAACGAAACATGACAAATGCTTGTGCCACCAAACCTACATCTTTTTAATTTTGTAAAGAATGAGAAATAGAAAGTATATTCCAAATAGCAAGTGATATGTTTTAGCTACCTCTATAAAACCGTATATTTTGTACGAGCCTAATTACACCTTTAAATATATAAAATCAGCTTGCAACAGTATATTTGTTGTTACTGATATCATTATTGTTAATAGTCAGAAGCATCCTTCCCTATCCCCAGCTGCCCGTCCCATCCCTCCGTGTTTTGTCCCTTAGGATTTAATGGAGTGAGTGAGTTTAGTTTTACGCCGCTTTTAGCAATATTCCAGCAATATCACGACAGGAGACACCGGAAATGGGCTTCACACATTGCACCCATGTGGGGAATCGAACCCAGGTCTTCGGCGTGAAGAGCGAACGCTTTAACCACTAGGCTACCCCATCGCCCCAGGATTCAATGGAACACTCTTGGCTTTTGACACAAGCGCAGTTTATACTAATCTAAGTCAGTATGGAATACATGAAAATAGTACATCCACTGTACTTAGTTTCCAACACCGTTTATTTCACATCGATACATCACATATACACTTAGTCTGTACATTATTGAAGATAGTAATAAACTGATATTTATAGGACAAATATGTTCACATTTGCGATTTAAAACTTTTCCACAAAGTCCTTTTTACTGAATATAATACTGTAATTTTCGGACTGAATATAAACAGATATATATGGAAATACTGTTTATGAATATATAAAAACTGTTCCCAAACTGGGTTGATGAAAGTTTTTGGTTTTCAACGGTACTTTGAAAGTAACGAAATAATTTCAGAGATCTTTGAATGGCATTTAGAAGTGATACACATAAGGAAGAGAGTTTCAAGGATGTAAAATTCTATATCATAGCGTACTCAACGTTTCGGAGTATATCCTTACTCCTTCATCAGGTGAAATGAAGGTCACAGACGCTGTTATTTCTGAAGGGGAAGTCTGAACATACTTATTTGTAGCAGACCAATATCGGTCAATATTATGAAGATAATAGTTCAAACAAATAACAATCAAATGTTATTCAGAAGACATACATTAAAGTCACATTGTATATAAACCCTTTTTCGTCCGAAACACTCAACTAGAACTCTCGTGCCGAAATCAGATTTCAAACCATCGTGAGCTTGTCCAAAATATTCCGTGAATTAAGATTAATCCAGTTTGCAATGGAAATGATTGACCAATACTGGAATACATTAGATTTGATTTGAAGTTTTGAGATTTTGTTATGGAAATAAAAAAGTGTCAATCTTCGTTTAGTATTGTTTTTCTTTCTTAGAATATGAAATTTGAGACAAACATTGGAGTTAGGGTTCGTTCATAATTTATGGCTGGGGTGGGGGTGGGGGTGTTGATGATTTTTTTGGAGGAGCATGTACAATATGAGTGGCCCTCCCTCTCCTTAAAATGTATGTACAAAGCAAGTGCCCCCCTCCCCCCTTCGTGACTCCCTCCCCAATTTGTAAGCATAACATTTTAATATTTATATGTACAAAATTACTGACGCCCACCCCCTACCCCACACACTAGTACATGTGTACCGAATTGATGACAAACCCCCATCTCCCCAGAACAATATGGTGACCCCTAAATTCATCATCACACCCCACCCCACCCCCAGCCATAAATTATGAACGGTCCCTTACTATTCTAAAATACCAAATTTCTGCGTTTTCTTACATGTCCAACCAGTATCTTAGTACATGAATTATAATTGACTGTAAGACTACAGAATACCGGATGCCTTCCGCCATCTTTGAACACAAAGTTTACTCAGGGTTAGGGTAAAGGTTAGGGATAGGGTGAGGTTTAGGGTTAGGGTGAGGTTTAGGGTTAGGGTTAGGGTGATGTTTAGGGTTAGGGTGAGGTTTAGGGTTAGGGTTAGGGTGAGGTTTAGGGTTAGGGTTAGGGTAAAGGTTAGGATAGGGTCAGGGTTAGGGTTAGGGTGATGTTTAGGGTTAGGGTAAGGGTGAGGTTTAGGGTTAGGGTTAGGGTTAGGTGACGTGACACTAAACAATATGGCTGGTAGGTATCCGGTAGGTGTACCTAACTGACACAATAGTGTGTGACAATAAACGACACATATTCTAAAACCATCAGGACAGATTTATTGCTGTAACTTCTTTTGATCTTTTGAGAAGCATATAACCTCTTGAAACGGACCTCTTTGTAAAATGACTACATCCTTCACAGACATTGATGGGGTTTTCCGTCGGGGTGCTGGAAGTGTATAACAAGATGTCTTGAGTCCTCTCTTTAAACCGGCATTGGTATTCTGTCCTGAGCCCGGATATAAACTGGTTTATTGATACACGCGCCTTTCGTGGTCAGGGCGCCTGCATTTACACTGTCGGAGACACGCCCTGGCATTGGTGAAGTAGGAAGTGCGGTCGAATCTCTTGGCCTGGAAGGTGTGGCAGCTATCGGATTGATGGCTGTAGAAGTAGAACCGACGACCAAATCTCATGTTGTAGCGGGGTCGGTTCCAGCACACTACGCAAAGGAATAAGACAAGTGATGTCAATGAAAGCTGTACCCAATTCACGTTCCCGAAGAACAGGAACTTGCCCTAGCCCTACTGCTCGGGGCTAGTCTTCTTCAACCCCAAACTTAGGATAAGTATTTTAACATTGACTCGTTTGGAAAATAACGGAATTAGGAGACACTGTGCAACACAATATCACATGAAAGACGAAATAATAAATATTTACAATTCTACAAAGTCAATGAAGCGCTCTTATACATATGTCGTGAAGCTATTGTGTCCGGGCAACGCTAAATGAAGCGTACATAAAATGTTTGTAGTGTGTTTGGATAACCCAGCGACGGTATTCTGTGTCATTCTGTCAGCTGAACAAAGAAGCTCAAGTGCATTTAGCAATAGGGTAGATGGTACAGAGGGACCAAGGATGTTATTTGGATCCCACTCATATAAAGGATCGTTGCCATTTTTCGCTTTGTTCTCGCCTTTGAAAAAAATACTTTTTGAATATTGGATTTTTTCCTTTTTAAAATCATTTTGATGTTAATAACGTTGACACCTAGTAAGGTTGTCCAACTTTGGTAGCTGGAGGTCTGTTGTTTGTTTGCTTGTATTTAACGCCGCACTCAGCAGTATTCCAGCTATATGACGGTGGTCTGTAAATAATCGAGTCTGGACCAGACAATTCCGTGATCAACAGCATGAGCATCGATATACACAATTCGGAACCGATGACATGTGTCAACGAAGTCAGCGAGCCTGACCACCCTATCCGTTAGCCGCCTCTTACGACAACCATTTGTTACTGAAAACCGATTCTAACCCGGATCTTAACGGGTTCAATGTCTTAATTGATTCTGCCTAACCCATTAAAAAATATGTGTTTTCATCATTACGATATGGCTGTACTACCATCGGTGTCCCTGCACTGTTCAACAACCCTGACAGCTGAGGGACGTACATCAACATATGGCGAACTGAACATGACGTGGTCTGACCGAACATATAAACTGATAATTAGATAATAAATAATTGCCATAGGACCGAACACATATCACACTGAACGATTGCTTAAATAAATGAGACATATATAGTTAAGGTTAGGCAAAACGTGACCTGAGACCTGCTGAAAAGGCATCTTTTTAAACCCGTGAGACAAGTTCATTGACGTTCATCACCACAGACTCATTAAACACTCACCTCTGTGACGTTTACGGGGACAGCACATTGCAAACGTTTTATACCTCGTGGTACGTGTCTGGCACACTTCATGCGATCGACAGGTCGAAGACTGGAAGAGCAAACATAAACTAAATAGTGTGTTGAGTCTAACACGATCTCACTTTTACCTGACGGCCTGTGGCACGACTAAAAATACGCAGACATGTTATGTGACCGCGACCCCCGATACTATGGTGTCTCCTATATGAAGTATACACGTTCAGTTGCATAATCATCGCTGACCCGTGAAGATCCGTGTTAGAATAGTCTTCAGCAACCCATGCTTGTGGTAAGAGGCGACTAATGGGATCGGGTGGTCAGGGTCGCTGACTTGTTTGACACATGTCATTGTATCCCATATTGCGTACATGGATGCTCATGACATTGATCACTGGATTGTCTGGTCCAGACTCGATTATTTACATACCGCTGCCATATAGCTGGAATATTGCTGAGTGCAGCGTAAAACAACAAACCAACAACCATAATCATCGCTACTTGATATCACTGTCTCCACATTTACCTCGAGATAACAGAAGTTTCGAGATTGTTGTACGTATTTCTCTTAAAACCTAAAGACATTATTTCAGTGGTACGTTATTTTTCTTTCTGCTTTTTATTGTCTATCTGATAACATTTATTCACAAATGTGCTTGCAAATAACAGCAGAAAATATAATTTAGGCAAAACCAAAACACAGTTGTCAGCTTACCGTACACAAATTTGTGTAGCAGGTACAGCCATCGGCAGAAGAAAGAATACCCGATAAACACAGAAGGTTGCAGCTAGATCCATACAAAGGTAAGATTTTTGCCCGTTCTGGAAGTAAAACGAGGGCTTCTAATCGAACTGATAACATGAAAAGACATGTTGACAAAAGAAGAGCAATCATTCAATTCATGTAGTTGTATTTGTGATATGGCAACAATAATCGCATGCTAGTAGAACCCCGTGGGTGACAAAATATTCTAACAGTGTCGAGCCGATAGTAAAACCTGCCCTAGCGGCATTCCACAGATGGCAAATATTTCTTCGCATATGTCTATGGAAATCAAATATGAAACGGTGTCATGTGAATGACAAACATGTCCTTGAATGGCAAACATGCCCTAGCGACACCCCATGGGTGGCAAACATGTCCTACTAGTATCGCGTTAATGACAAACATGTCCTAGGAGGACTCCCTGGATGGAAACCATGTCCTAGCAGAATCCCGTGGATAACAAATATGCCCCAGCAGTATTCCATATCCTATCAGAAAAGGTATCCTAGCAGTATAGGTGACACTTATATCCCAGCATTATTCTATAAGTGACACATATGTCCTAACAGTATTCCATAGGTGACACATATATCCCGGCATTATTCTATAAGTGAAACATATGTCCTAGCAGTATTCCATAGGTTACACATATATCCCAGCATTATTCTATAAGTGACACATATGTCCTAACAGTACTCCATAAGTGAAACATATGTCCTAGCAGTATTCCACAAGTGAAACATATATCCTAGCAGTATTCCATAGATGACACATATATCCTAGCAGTATTCTATAAGTGACACATATGTCCTAACAGTACTCCATAAGTGTAACATGTCCTAGCAGTATTCCACAAGTGAAACATATGTCCTAGCAGTATTCCATAGATGACACATATATCCTAGCAGTATTCTATATGTGACACATATGTCCTAGCAGTCTTCCACAAGTTCAACATATGTCCTAGCAGTATTCTTTAGATCACATATATGCCCCAGCAGTACTCCATAGATGACACATATATCCTAGCAGTATTCCATAGATGACACATATATCCTAGCAGTATTTTATATGTGACATATATGTCCTAACAGTACTCCATAAGTGAAACATATGTCCTAGCAGTATTCCATAGATGACACATTTATCCTAGCAGTATTCTATATGTGACACATATATCCTAGCAGTATTCTATATGTGACACATATGTCCTAACAGTACTCCATAAGTGAAACATATGTCCTAGCAGTATTCCATAGATGACACATATATCCTAGCAGTATTCTATATGTGACACATATGTCCTAGCAGTATTCTATATGTGACACATATGTCCTAACAGTACTCCATAAGTGAAACATATGTCCTAGCAGTATTCCACAAGTGAAACATATGTCTTAGCAGTATTCTATAGGTTACACATATGTCCTAGTATTATTCCATAGGTGACACATATATCCCAGCAGTATTCTATATGTGACACATATGTCCTAGCAGTATTCCACAAGTGAAACATATGTCCTAGCAGTATTCTATAGGTTACACATATGTCCTAGTATTATTCCATAGGTGACACATATGTCCCAGCAGTATTCTGTAGGTTACACATATGTCCTAGTTGTTTCCACAGATGATCCCGATGTCGACTCACCAGTATTCCATACTGATGTCTTCAGGTCACCTTTCCAGATCGTCTTCCGAGTAGACTGGGCAGACGCCAACTCCAAAACGAGGCAGACGATAGCCACAAGACAACACACATCAGTCTTGCTGGGCATCCTGTGAACACAAATAGCGACAAACATACAATGAAACAGCAATTGCACAGATTCAGAGATCAATACTACGAAATGGTCTAGACGCCACTACCATGTAGCCTTGAAGCACCATTTAGTCATTAATAACAAACCACCATGCTGTGGCGGTGTGGTAGCCTAGTGGTTAAACCGTTCGCTCTTCACGCCGAAGACCCGGGTTCGATTCCCCGCATGGGTACGTTATTCCTGAATACTTTGTAAAAGCTCAAACTAAAAGCAAAATGCATGCATAGCCAACCAAATCCTGGCTGCTACGTTTCACCGAAGGGGAGAATAGCTAACCAAATCCTGGCAGCTAAGTTTCACACTTAAGATCTACCGCTTTAGCCGAAGGGGAGAATAGCTAACCAAATCCTGGCTGCTAAGTTTCACGCTTAAGATCTACTGCTTTAGCCGAAGGTGAGAATAGCTAACCAAATCCTGGCTGCTAAGTATCCTGGTATTTCTTTGGCGTTTACGTTTACTATTTTATGACTATTGGGGGGATTTCTTAACAAATACCTAGAAGAGACAAAACCCTTTCCACATTCATAAGAAATCCTGCCAAAAATCAGAGTCGATTGTACGATTGCGACTATATTATAAGCAGATATATACTTCAGCAGTATTACAGCTGTATGATGTAATTTGTAAACGAATCGGGTCTGAAACAGACCATCCATGCAGTGATACGATGACAGAGCATGTGTTTATGAATCACTATGAAATAGTTATGATACAAGGTGTTCGCGAAAAGGTGAGCGTATCCTGCCCCACCAGTGGCACCCGTCATAAACATATGAAAAGTCTAGTCATATGTTCACCTGAAATAATTCGGGAGCGTATGGTATAAGTCAAAACAGGGAATTGCATGGGACATCATCTTTGTCACTGATGCATCAAATTTCTACTGAGGCCTTGAATGTTGTAACCTTGATCAAACAACTTCTGAACAAGAGTGGCATGATGCTCTTTTAAATCCTGATTCATCGATGTACCGGAAGCTTAAGTTAAACTTCTTGGCCAAATTACCTTGTTTTGATTTTGCCAACCCAAGTAGAAATTCTGATTCATATGCATAGAGAAACAGATGCGCAAGGAGGGAGCACAGTTGGTGCCCATGGGGATGCCTACCTTTTGGCGAAACGTTTTACCCCCAAATTTCACAAAGATATCGATGTTATCAGTGAGAAAGTCCACCATTTCACATATTGAAATTTTCTTTCATTTTTGACAAATTGTCCTGAACCTCTGAAGATAGATATGTAGGTATATCTTTGATATCTTTGTTCATCACGTTTATTTACAAAAGCCCCATAAATCAAGGAATGAAGTTTGTTATGCTGGAGAGTTGTATACAATGTTGAAAAATCAGGTTTTGACAGAACGGAACTCGGTCCGTTTCCGAGATTCTAAAAATGTAATCCTTTGAGTTTTTGAGAATCCACATGGCACTAATTCCGAGTGAATATCGAGAAAGTCCTTCCTTGATAGTATTAAGGATTATGGGTAATCTCTGAGACAGGGATTTGGTGGTACATTTGCTGGAACCAGCAATACATCTCTCCTCGTACGGATTTTTATGTAGTTTTGGAATCCAGTACAAAAGAGGAATGGACATGTCTTCAGGTTTTAGAGTCAAGCCAAACGTTGATAGCACCATTGAATGGTTTAGGCAGATTTGTTCCTCAGTTAACATACTGGCCTTATATGTGGCATTATTTGATATGTCACGTATACCACGCTCTTTGATCAAACAATTTATGCAATGATGTTTACATATAATGGTTATGTTATTTGAGTCCTTGTCAGTGGGAATAACTACAATCTTTTCAAATAGGGCAGCCAGACTTTGGACGACAGCGGGCTGTGACAGAATGGGTTTGTTCCAATTCTGTTTTTCAGTTTGTGTATTCTACCAATGCCAACCCACGTAACCCACTCTGAAAGACATTCCACGGGTTCTTCTTATCTTCTGGCCCTTTTGTGGGCATATACTTCGACAGCATCCATAATGATTTTAAGTTGTAATTCTAATTGGTAGGAGGCTGTTCACGATATTTACGTCCATATTTAAATAGTCGTCGAAGGTTGCTATTGTCAACAACGGAGGAGTCACCTGTGATAATATGTCTTGCAGGTTGGTAGCAAAAGTTTGAGTCTTGACAGCGTCATGATGTGGAATTTACATCGTGATCTGCACGTTCTGTAACATGTTGCTATAATTGAACAACTTGGATGAAATCGTGTTCGTTTAGGAGAACGACATTGTTGGCATTTCCTATTTCCTATTTTGGCACATCTTGGGAAATTGATTTTTGCCTCATAATGTTGCTTATAATTAAAGCATCAATTCTCTTGTTTGCAAATTTCAGATTTAGGAACATGCGGTCTTTGTCTGATTCAGGTGAGTCTGTTGCTTGCTTCGCAAAACGTTTCGAATCGGGATCAAGAACTATACTCTCTAGTCGATATTGTAACGAAACCTCACGCAAACAAAACAATCAATATAATTGGTTTCTTTGATCTCCGTTTTATATGTGATTAAAGTGTTATTAACCCTCATCAATGGACAATGTTCACTCCTTGCTATTTTATGAAGCTACTCTATCATACTCAAAGGGTATTTGTGTTGCTTGTCCTCGGGCGTTCTCGAAGGGTGGTGATTGCTGGTAATAACACGATTCTGTTACTGCATAGCATGCGTCTTACCTTTTCATTACATTTGGCGAAATGGATATAAGTGAGTGAGTCAGTGAGTATGTTTTAACGCCACTTTGAGCAATATTCCAGTTTACCTTAGGACACCAGAAATGGGCTTCATACAATGTACCCATGTGTGGAATCGAACCCGGGTCTTCAGCGTGACGAGCGAACGCTTTAACTATTAGGCTACCCCGCCGCCCGAAATGGATATAAAGGAACGAATATATATAAATTCTTTCTAAAAAAATTTAATTTAGACTTATTAAAGGGGTTTGGCTCTCTAACCTGTTTTTGATTGAAAGTGGGTAATTTGGATAGTCATCAGCACCTACATACTATATATACTGTCCTATATCACATATTGGAAGGATCCTTTCACACATGATATAGAGTTATATCTTGGGGTCATTTGCTTGTCTGCAGATTGAAAGCTGAATATGTTCTCTCCAACCAACAGGGGTCAGTGGTAGTTATTTATCTTGGCCCGCCTTGAGCAGTTCTGACAGATACCAGCTGACAGCTTTAGCATTTGCAGTACTGACACACATCAGTCTCTTACACCTGGGCTGTGTTTATACTGTTTATTACCCGTGATCACCTAGGTAAGAATTTGTCTTCAACAATCCATGCTGTCGTAAGAGACGACTAACGGATTGGGTGGTCAGACTCGCTGACTTGACTGACGCATGTCATTGTGTCCCAGTTGCGTAGATCTATGCTTATGCTGTTGATCACTGGATTGTCTGGTCCAGACTCGGTTATTTACACTGTCATATAGCTGGAATATTGCTGAGTGCAGCGTGAAACAACAAACAAAATATTGTTAGATAGTTGTGGTACTTGGCATCATATTCTTGGCAGTACTGATGGCAAGGAGCGCATGTGCAAGGTAGAATGTCAGTGGCTCTTGAACCATTGCTCAAACCAGTTTGTCTTTGATTCAAGTTATGTTCACAACATTGTATACATGTACAGTGGTTAATTATGTGATGCTGTTCGCCTGTACCGTAGTCATCAGCCTGTGATTTTGAAATATCCTGCGTTCACGTCAAAGACATATACATTTTGAAAGATGACTCAGCTGATGAAACATGGCGTCTGTTTAGAAATCCAAAATACAAGCCACAAACGTTCGTTTTTTAATCACTGGTGTGTTATGATGTTTTTCTAATCTTTATGCTATGATTATAAACAGACACATATCAAGTTCCTGATCAACATAACGTTGTACAAATTCAAATAGTGACGGAATAATGGACAGTGGTTAGTAAGCAAATAATAGCGACAAAACATTACCATACAAATCCCAAAATTCAAAGTGCAATTGATAATTGAGACTATCATAAGCATGTACTTATCAATCACTTTCGGATTGTAATTAGACCAAGTGTTCACGAAAATGCGAGCGTATGCTGTTTCACCGATGGCACCCGTCACAAACACTTGCAAAGCCATGTTAATTGTTTACCCGAAAACGTACCACGAGAACATACGACGGTCGGTCAAAAAGTAGTCAGCCTTACTATATTCTCGATGTCCAGTGTTTGAAAAGCTTCCATAATATTTTGAAGGAATCATTAGCAAAGCCATATCCAAATTTTCACATATGTGGGTAAGGTGGTTAACGAGATATTTGTCATCACAACACATCGGGGTATAATATTTCCAAAAGAATTGCAAAAAATGAAACACGGTCTGTCATTTGGTACCTCTTGGATAATGGTATACCCTCAGATAATATCATATAAAATATGTTCAATACAGTATTGAATGACTTCCCGTCCTAATCAATAGTAAAAGATTTGGAATGCTTGATATATATTTAGACGGGGGCTGTTTTCTAAGGACCCCCCCCCCCCGTGTATTCATGTATGAATAAGTGGAAACATTAGAAATAGTTATGTCTTTATGATTACGTCATCTGAAATAGGGTGGGTAGTGTCTCCCAAACAAGCTGTTTCAGTGAACATGAAGCGATTGTGGTTTCAAACTGCTTTTTTATGCACTTTAATATCTAAGCTTGATTCTAGCGGAATTCTACCTATCCCAAACACGTCAAACATTTCTTGCATATTTTGTGTATTCTTGTATAAGTTTGTGATGCATTTATTGTAGATCTGCGTTTTTGGGCGGGGATTACCAAGATAAAAAGTCAAACAAAATGGGGATCGTGAGACTGGAACATAGCAAAACCAATTTGCTTGAGGTTAACAGATAATATGTAGAAAAATAAAACATAAAAAGGTCTGCATTTGTATCATTTTCTAGGTGAGGCCG